GGAACCTGTGAAGGGCGACAGTCTGCGTGAGAAAAGCTTCTGGTATTTTAGCTTCAGGACAATTCAAGTTAAGTAAAATCTCAATTTTAGGGCTTAAGGGGCTAATAACGAGCTAGACACCTTCGCTTACGATTGTTATACATTAGTTGAGGGTTGATATAAACAAGTCCACACATACCACCCGTGTAGTCCATTGAAATACTATCCGATTCCAGCAAAGGACAAATGCGAGCAATGTATATAATAAATGTTCCTTGTTTTTTTTTTACTTTGCCCCTGCACTTGGGCTGTCTTACTTGTGATTCTCTCCCCATGACCGAGACTGTATTTAGCATGTTGCTCGAGCAGCAAGCAGCTGTTCTGTTTCGGCGATCTTGTTTAAAATCAGATACAAAAAAAAAAGTATATATATAACCTGCCAATTTATTCAGACCATCAGCAGCATTTATTGTGCGAGATGTAAATCTATATAGTGATGCTTTTGCAATTGTGGCCATACTTCTTTATTTTCATATACCAGTTGTGATTCATGCGTTGCCTGTCCTGTCAACCATGCTTAAAATGTTGCTTGAAGTTTCGCCTGTAGCTACAGGCCTATGTCAATAAAGGCACATATAAAAATTTACACTTCCTACGAAAAACACGCAAAAAAAATTTAATAGAAACGAGCGCGCCGACAGCTAGCGTCATCACAGCCTCCACAGGGCGAGCGGGGCGAGTCGGGGAAAAATTCTCTCCTCGCCGTGACGTCACCCCAGTTCGCCGTAATGGGGCGCCACGCAAACTTCTCGGGGCTAATAGACAGTGAACTCTCTTACAGTAAGGCCTTAAAGGCTAGAAGAGTGGATAGGGAAGATTATCTAAGGCCTGCCAAAGGGATGAGCAAGGAAGAAGAATTTGTGTGGAGAAGACTGCAGACTGACACTTTCGTCACACCGGTCAAGCTTCATCTGTGGTACCCGGAGCGGTACGCCACAGCAGACTGTTCCTTCTGTGGTGCGGGCTGGGCGGACGTTCACCACATTGTCTGGGTGTTCAAGAACATCCCAGGACTGGCTCCAGTGGAGGAGCCCACAATCGATGAATTGGAAGCGGGACTGAAGTGCGCGAGGGCTAGCAAGCAGAGGTCGCTCGTGGCCAGGGCACTACAAGTTCACACCGCACTTGGAGCCCCGGAATAAGGGCACACAGCCACTCTCTCCTCTTTCCTTTCTTTTGCTCCCCTTCGCTTTCCCGACTCTTACATGTCAATAAAGGTTATTAAGAACTACTATTGTGCAGCACCAATCCCCAACACTTTTGAAGTTGGAACTGTGATATGCCCTTTATTCATCAGGCTTTGTTTCTACGCTGCTTTTGGCACTTGTAGTTCACTTGAGTACACAATTCACGTCTCAGCTTGTAGCTCGCCCTCCCGCGGCGGAAATGGGAAGCGCTCTAGTGAGGGTCCCCCCATTCTCCTGCTCAGTGAGCACGACGGAACTGCTCACGATCATGGACACCCTTCACTGTCCCAACATAGTGCTGTAACTGGTATGGGATTGTACCTCATTAGAAAGTTTTAGTATAGCGTATAGAAGCAAACGCAAGCACTGTACGTTCGCGTTAAAGTCGCGTGCTCCACATTGCGCATGCGCATCGTTGCCATGCGCCAATTTAAGGCCACAGTTTTGGGCTCCGAACACGCAGTGTGGAACACGCAAAGCTTACTCAAACACACGGCGCTTGCGTTCCCTTGTATACACAATATGAAAACACTGCTTTACCGGCTTCCCATGCTAACAAAACGTGCTGCAGTGATAAGATGTGCAAGCAGGTAGGCGTTCCTCCAAACTGGAGAAGCTGAGATCGGCAAAACGACGGCATGTAAAAATTAAAGTAACTAAATGTTACAAAAAAATTGGTAATTAAAAAAAATATGAAATTCATTTGGGGGCCCCTCCTCCCCCCCTCCCCCAAACGAATTTCTTTTGTTTTTTTAATTACTCTGGAAAAATATTGGCGGCGACTTTGGAAGTTTTGCCGATTATCGAAACTCTTAACTCTGATAGCATCATATGCTTTACCCATAATTAATGTAACTTAACGCGGATTTCTCAGATTAGCTAGAATGTTTTCATTGATTTTTGACTATTTTTATTTTATAACCTGGTAATTAAAAATGCTGCAATTGGCAGCAGTCATGATAATCAGCACACTTTTGACTGTCACACTTGTTTGTGTGTTTGAAATTAAATCATAAGCAACAAATTATATGAGCTTGAAAAATTATGTATTAAAGTATCTTAATTTTAATATTATTATTCTTAATACAAATTGTGGCAATGTATGCCCCCAAATAATGCCACAATCACCAAAATATGCCATGTAACCATAATAGTCTTTCCAGAGAGGTATAATTTTGTTTTCTTTTTAACATATGAAACACTCTGACATCGTTATCAAAACAGTCAAACACAGGATGTAATATAAAGTCCTATGCGTTGCGCGTTGCTTTAAAAAACACACACACTTCAGCTGTCTGATTCGGATTCAGTCTTTGGGTTTTTGTAGTAAGAACAGCCTTTCTTAATTTATACGTTTTGTGAACACATGTTGTAAAAACTGGATTTATTCTGTTATTCTTGTGCTGGGAATAATGTTAAACCAATTAATCATTTAAATACCCAAAAACACATTAAAAGGCCCACACAGTTCATTATTTCACATGGCAATTCTCTGAGCAAGAAAAGGCAACAGTATGCACAAATATCAGCACTGTTTTTTTCAACAAAAAAAATGACCGCATCTCCACGTGGTAAATGATGTTGATTGGGGCGAAGCTCTGGTAGTGCTGATGATACTGATTTTATTGTTCATAGGTAGTGCTGATGGTGTTGATTTTTTTTTTATTGCTCATAGGTAGTGCGGAGTTTTGGGTTGCGTTTCAACTTTATTATTACTGCTTTATGGTCGGTGAAATGCAGAGCCAGTGGTTCTTGTAGCGGATCAGCTTGGATCCGCTAGAAGCCATGGGAACGCATCTCCACCGCTTAAGTCAACGGTCCATGTCAGAAAGAGAATGTGTGGTATGGAACGTGGTTATATACGCATTTGAGCATTTGACCGCAGCGCCCTCTCGTCTATAAACCTTGAGCCAATGCATGCAAAGTTTAACGCGATTATATACGCATTTGACCGCAGCGCCCTCTCCTGTATAGACGTTGAGCGGCTACATGCAACGTTTCATCCATGACAGAAACCCCAGCTCTTGAGTTACTACCACATCTCAGAGCCCCCTACTCGTCCCGCAGTCGTGGCCGAGTGGTTAAGGCGATGGACTAGAAATCCATTGGGATCTCCCCACACAGGTTCGAATCCTGTCGACTGCGCAAACATTTGTCTTTTTTTGTGAGCACGGACGTCGGCCAGACAGACGGACAAGGCTAGACCCTAAGGAGCTTCGCCCCTAATACATTATTCTATGTTACCTCTAAGGTGTATGAAAGACCCTGTCTTTAAAGGGACAGTGAAATCACAAAAAATATTTTGAAGTTCCTGGATTGAACACGTGTGTCACAAAATAAGGTTTCCGGAAACAATTTTTTTAACTAAATATTTATGATGCGCGACAAATCTTGAGTTATAGCGAAATTATGACCTACACCGAGAAATTAAATCCAAAATAGAGGTTAGTTTCGGTTTCGCTCCAAAATTAAAAGATGTGACCTGCGCTCCTAACACCCTAGCTTCCTCGTATTACCAGAAATAATTTGTGTCGCTCAGTGAAGCCAGCACACTAGACGGGCTCAGCAGTGGCACGCATCCCCAACCCTCACTATACCCACCATTTTGAAAAAACGAGTGGTGCCACCTCTAGTGAATTGGAGTCGCGAATAGGCATTTCTCGATGCATTCTCTTTGTTCCTTATGTACATTTTTTAAGTGTTCAAATACAGTTCAAAGTTTGTAGTGTAACTTCCTCTTCGGCACATACTAACGTTTTGGCTCTACATGTGCAACCAAATAATTTTGATTTAAACATATTCCTGCCATTTTATGTTATGTTACATCGTTTGGCTTGATTACTGCACACACTCACTGCAACAAATCCTGATGTGATGAGCACAAATAAGGTTAAGATAGTCACTGATTGCTATATTCCCGGCGTTCACCGTTCTTGCTTTCACAAAGACGTCCAGGGGGGCTATGTTCGACAAATGGGACAAATGTTTCGTTTCTCCTAAAAAGAAACGGAAGTGATGGAACTGACGATATCGCGTCTGATTGGCTAGAGGCTCAAATAACGAAAGTTCCCTCTTTCGTCATTTGAGCCTGTAGCCAATCGGACGCGATATCGTCAGTTCCGTCACTTCCGTTTCTTTTTAGAAGAAACGAAACATTTGTCGAACATAGCCCCCCAGGTCAGCTTCAGGATCCAGATCTAAATTGGCAGCATATCGCACACCACGGATTTTTACAATCCCGACCTTGGTATGTACAAGAGTCCACAAAAGGGATGGGAGATGAATGGCCCAGAGGGCTCAAATGGACAACTGGGGAAGAATGGCCCAGTGGGCTCAAATGGACAACTGGGGAAGACAAAGAAACGGAGTCTACTGGGTGCAAAAATTCAATCATCGCTCTGCGAACGCTGGTAAACGAGTGCCTGTAGTGGCAAGCATTTGCGCCCTGGGGAGCTATTGTTCAAGAGGCGGCAATCACAACCTATCGCCGTCGCTGACAACCGCGCGCGACCTGTTGCAAGTGTAGTCGCGCGGTGACTCAAACGGGGAGGGTGGGGCGGGGGTACTGATTTGGGCTGCCACTCCTCCGATGCGCCCACTTCCCCGCAACCAGGACTGGCAGACTGGGGGACAGACTATCTTTTCGGCGATCCACTCGGCACTTCGCAGCGCACGTGTCAAAAAGAAGCGCCGTTGCCGTTCCCCACGCGGTCCACTGTTCGGTGCTGCACTCAAGCAGCGTCTGCCGAGCGGCCACCGAACTTGCCCGCTTACCTCTGGTGTACAGGCTGGCCAGTTCCCTGGCTCCGGCGTGGTAGGGACCCCACCGGGGCTTCAGTTCACCTTGGAATTGCTCGTTCACTTGGTACGTGTCCGAGTTGCTGTTGGGGTCATCTTCAGGCATCGAGTTCTCGTAAATTTGCTTCTCCGTCTTCACGGGCGCCAACATATTGCACGCCATAATTGGTCTGGTTGGCGGCTGCAGCAGCCTACTTTCTTCTGTTATCCTTTACCATGCGTCAGTGTCGAGACAAAAAGGAGACACATACCACACCCGTCCAACACTGGCGGTTCTCCTTCGCGTTATATCTCTTTCCGCTGCTCTTGTTACGTTGTAGCGTTGTTGTTGAATGGACGAACTCATGTGCGGATAGACTGCCACCACTTCACCTCTGCACTTCACAGCCTTCTCCCCCTTCTCCGACTTCGAGGAGGTTAGTTCGCCAGATCGCCCAGTTCGCGCCCTTCCCGCTTCTTGATCAGCGAGAAATGTGACGGAAGCGCGTTGTCCGAGAAAGAGCTGGGCGGGCAAACTCAACGCTGACGTTGACAGGAGAAACCAAATTCTGTATTTCGAGAACTCTACTGAAAATCGCCAAACTCGCGTCAGTTTTTTTGTTTTTTTTTATCTCGTGAGTCTAGCACTCTCTAATTGCTGAAGGAATTTGATAGTTCAGCTGCGCCATCTCGGGAGTGCCACAAGCACCCGTGTAGAAAAAAAAAAATTGAATGTTTGGGGCGGTTGGGATACGCGTGTTAGGTGGTATTGGTCAGGTCGTGAATAATGGTAAAACGATTAGAAGGGGAACCCACGGACAATTTGTCTGAATGAGGGAAAACAATACTTAGAAGAACAGAAAGAAAATATTCTAAAGAAAGGAAAAAGGAATGCAGCAATTAGGAGCGTGTTGTGATTCGAGGCTAGAACGGGAGTACTGAGGTATGAGGAAATGGATGCGCGCTGTGCCGTATGCCAAAGGGAAGATGATCCAATAAAACTTGTGGTGTTGAGGTGCATAGGGCTTGCTCCCGCCCTTCCCCGGGGGGGGGGGGGGGGGGGGGGGCGTATTTAGCAGACGAGAATGGGAGAAAGGATGATAAGTGCAGTAAATAACAAAGAAGAGATTGGAAGACTGGTGAAATTATCCAGGGAGAATTGAAGGACGCACAACTAACTGACACAGCAGGGGACAGGCGGGACAGAAGAAAATTGGGACTCCCTCTCGCGTGGCTCCGGCCCAAATTCTTCACCCTACCTCCCAATGGGCCCGGTGCCGGGGGGGGGGGGGGGGGGGGGGGGGGGATTGTTTTAAGTTTTTTTTGCCGGATCCCCCCAAGGTCATCCTGGTGATACTGATATCCCACAACGCCTGGTGATAGTTACGAAAGTGCAGAGGACAAGCAAATTGGCCAAGGAATCATACTTTTGTTTCTTACCTTCTAGGCTAGGTAGCGCAAGCTAGCGCCCGTTATAAAGGATTCAGCCGTTAGCATCCTGAGCAAAAAGTAAGGGCGCAAACGACCTGGTGTACATTGCACATGGTTGAAAAAAACCCGAGACTGCGGGTAAACGACACAACACATCCTGACGTTCCTTTCGGTTAGACTCAAAATCGAAACCAACATTGTCGTCTGCTATTAGTGCCTTGACTCCGTGTTGGAGGCATTCGGCGTCTTATTGCGGCAGCAGTAGTGCTGTAGACTCATGCCCAGATCCCGAAGCGCAGGAACGGCGCCGCTTCGGGATCTCGGAGGCCATGACCACATAAACGTTGGAGCATGCGGACGTTTTTTCGTCTGCTAGCGACGGCCGTAGTACAGAGGCGGTCGTTCATTTTCACTTGAAGGCAGACCCCGTCTTATTTTGGAAAGCTGTAGTTAAAATACACGCCACTGTTCAAGAGGCTTGAAGGAATCACACTCGAGTTTTTATGCATATAAAGATGGATTGAAAGATTAACATTCGACACATTCGGGCATCAAAAAGTATAATTATATTGTAGCCTCAAGCGATGCCGGCTCAATTCCCAGATCCCAGGTTTTCAGAACACAAAACAACTTTGTATTGCATGAAATATTTAATAAAGTAGCGACGGTACATTTATACTTTAAACCCATGTTGCTGTTAAAAAAAAAAAAAAAAAAAAAAAAAGCATCAAACTCTGGTCTAAAAACACGCTGCGAAAAATCAGTCCGTCCCCGTCCTTGATGTTTTAATATCGAAAAAATCAATCCGCTGAATACGCGCACTGTTGAAAAATCAGTCCCCCGAGATGCTACGACTCGTGATTGGCTGGCGCACGCCCTTCCGTTCTGCCTTCCCGTCCGACACATGGAGTTATTACAATAAACGCTAGAGGCTCAGCTGGCTCTAGTGTCCACGGGACTTCCGGTTGCAAATTGAAGCAGACAGCATGCAGTCTACTTTTCCAGTCTTCGTGTGTATTCCTATGGGAAAACGCGCGTGAATTTTGTCTCGTCGCCGCAAAATAACATGAATAACTTTTGTTATTTTGGTTGTACCGGGTAGTATGTACCTTTATTAATATTGTGAAAGTGTAATTGCTTTAGTTACAGCTTTTTTTCCTTTACCACTGAACGATGCTAAACTTCGCTATATTTCAGGCCCTAACCTCTGTTCCATGGCAGGTATGTACAGGGTCCGATCGAGAAAAGTAAACCTTACTTTTCGGCCCGCGTAAAAAAACTACGCATCGCAGAACGCTCAAACTCCGCCAGAATGTAACCCTAGCGGTCCAAGCAAGATGCAAAAGTTTCAGCCCGATCCGATAAATTAATCAAAAGTTATAAGTGATTTTCTGAAAATTTCAATGGGAAAATGGCCGCCGACGGTGTTTTCGAACACATGGGGCTCTATGACACCAGAAACCGAAAACGGGCAAAAATGGGCTCCATTTTCCCATTGAAATTTTCTGAAAATCACTTATGACTTTTGATTAAGTAATCGAATCGGGCTGAAACTTTGGCATGCTTGGACCGCTAGGGTTACATTCTGGCGAAGTTTGAGCGTTCTGCGATGCGTAGTCTTTATACGCGGGCCGAAAAATAGGGTTTACTTTTCTCGATCGGACCCTGTAGAAACGAGCGACGATTGTAAGCAAAATAAGGATCGAAAGGAATGTACAGTGTGTTCAAAGTTCACCAGCATTCCTTTGGTGCTTATATATTGCTAATATGCCTGTCCTCTCACTATATGAAAATGACCGCGTCGTGCATCTTTACGAGTGTATAAAAAAAAAACAAAAAAAAAAAAAAACGTTCGAAACGTAAAGAATAAAGGACATGGACTACGAAAGGTGTGTTTTCTTATTATTTACTATGTTGGGCAGTTTTTATCGCGCACCTGTTCTCTGGCTTCCCCCTATTTGCACAAATTTGGAGCGTGCGGGTGATTATTTGAACACAGAACGAGAATCTTCGCACATATTCATGAGCAGAAAAAATAAAGCAGTACTTATTTATTGCAAATCGAACTATATTACGTGACTTTCAATTTATTTTGATCGTCTGCAAGCACAAGGAGTTACTTACCCAGTGTTCCTGCGTAGTACTTGACGTCTCTCTTGGTTTTCCACACGTCCTTCGTTCGTTTGGCACGTATATCCTCCATGCTGGAAAGCATCGACGCCGTGTTCACGCTAACAGTGTCCGACAGTGCACACAAATACACGTATGAAGCGGTTTTAGCACCGTTTTTCATGCCACGAATTTCAAATAAAAATGCTGTAACTGACCAATTATTTCGTCTGCGTGACTGAGAAATGCTCCAATGTGCCTAGTACGTACAAATTATTCGTGATATTTGCTCTTATAATCGAGCGCAGAGAGAAAATGCACTCGCTTTTTCCCATAGAAATGCATTACCGGAAGTCAATTTCTGACTGCATGCTGTCTGCTTCAAAATGCAACAGCACACTAGCGCCAGCTGAGCCTCTAGCGTTTATTGTAATAACTCTATGGTCCGACAGCGGAGAACAACGATCTTTGATTGGAGTTTTGATTAGGAAATCGGCCATCCTTGAATGTAATTTTGGCATTTTTAGGATGCTTAGAGCCCGTAGATTGAGTCGTGAAAATAAATAGACGATGTCAGAATTTACTTGAGTGCCCATTTTAAAGATAAATGCATGATTTACCAACGCGGGTAATATCTCTCCTTCGTGGCAGAGGGGTATCGCGTCGGACTACAGAACGGAAGGTCGCTGGTTCGACGCCAGCCGAGGGACACGAGCGGAACATATTTTTTTGAAGAATATCAAAATTCGCAGATGTCCTTTCGAGTCGTCAACGTGTTTTCGTTCAAGGACTAGGTCGACTGAACGATGAGACATGTAAAGGCCCGTCCACACTGTTGCAACCGAGTACGACCGAGAGAGACCAGACCGGTTTTTAAGCCTCTTGCGATCTCTTCGGACCAGCTCCGCTGCCTCGCATCCGGTCCTAAAAGTCGCTCTCAGTCGTACTCGGTCGCAAGAGTGTGAACGGGCCTTAAGGTTTGCCTGAAATAAAACCACTCAAGCGACGAGCACTACAAGAGGATGAGATGTAAGGCTTGCCTGTAATAAAACCGCACAAGCGACGAACACTACTAGAGTAGGAGAACCACAAGAAAATCCCAACAAGAACGAAAACCAGAATCACAAGGACACTAGAACAACAACAAAAAAACCGCAACCACAACAACTCGCAAGTACGAATACCACAAGAAAAGCACAACAACGGAAACCTAAAGAAAACCACAACAGGAACGAATACCGCAAGCACAAGAAAACTGCAACAAAAAACCGCAACCAAAAGAAAACCTCAACCACAAAAAACCACTACCAGAAGAAAACTACAACAAAAAACCGCAACCTCAAGAAAACCACTACCAGAAGAAAACTACAACAAAAAACCGCAACCTCAACAAAACCCCAACAAGAAGCCATGAACGTTGACCCTACCGATTGGCCCTCTCATGAAGACGAGACCATGGAAGTTGACCCCACCGATTGGCTACGGAACGAAGATGCGGCCATGGACGTTGACCACACCAATTGGCCCCAGAATGAAGATGCGGACATGGACGTTGACCCCACCGATAGGCCCTGTCATGAAGACGTGTCGATGGACGTTGACCCCACCGATAGGCCCTGTCTTGAAGACGAGGCCATGGACGTTGACCCCACTGATTGGTCCCGCAATAAAGATGCGGCCATGGACGTTGACCACACCAATTGTCCCCAGAATGAAGATGCGGACATGGACGTTGACCCCACCGATAGGCCCTGTCATGAACACGAGACCATGGAAGTTGACCCCACCGATTGGCCACGGAACGAAGATGCGGCCATGGACGTTGACCACACCAATTGGCCCCAGAATGAAGATGCGGACATGGACGTTGACCCCACCGATAGGCCCTGTAATGAAGACGTGTCGATGGACGTTGACCCCACCGATAGGCCCTGTCTTGAAGACGAGGCCATGGACGTTGACCCCACTG